ATTTTGTAGTGTTTGTTGATTGCTCTTTGATTTCTAATGAATTCAATTATTAGTGTTAAATATTTTATTTATCAAAAAATAAAACTTTGGGATAAAAGTTTCTGGAATTTGCATGTATAATTTTTTAGTTAAAACATTGATTATATTGAATAATGCTTAATTTATGATTAATCACTCAATTAATTATTTACGTTGTCTATTTTAATTTTTTTATGAAGAATATTGTGCATTTGTGATAATACACAATATTTATAAAAAGGGTGAAGTTTACATAGGTTTACCTCAAACAATAGGACTATGGCGCGCTTCTAAATTTTTTCTAGAGATGTGTTTTCAGAGTCATAAACTTTATGATGGCTTGAAAATTTGTATTGGACCCTAGTAATAAAATTCAAAATTTTGAAAATGGAAGCACATCTATAAATACTTAAAAGTTCTGAAAGTATGGAATCCAGATAACTTGTTACAAGATGCACCAATATTTTGACTTGAAATTCTTTTTTTGCCTTTATATCTATATGTCTCAAGGTCAAGATGATCAATTAGAAGGTTTTCTAAATTCAGAATAATCTTTTCTACTATATTTTTAAAGCTCCATTCCCATAAAGCTCCATTCCCATCAAGTCCTAAGCTTATCCTTAGAAGAAAGGGAAATTTATCAAAATATACACTAAAGTTAAACTACTTGACAATTTACCGCAATGTAATTCGATAAATTTCAAACCCTTCTCACTTGGTGGCATATTTGAAATTCGATTAAGACAAAAGATAGACTATTTAAAATTAGTTTAAAAATATGAATAGGATATTAAATATTTCTTAGTATAATAAATTTCCCTGGGAAAATGACTAGATATCCATAGTTTCCTCATGAGACGATTGAGAAACTCAACCAACAGATCATAAATGAAAAATCTTGCATTTTTTGGGTTCATCTTGTTTTAGAACTAGGGACGTCTGGTCGTTAGTATACGTCCATTGAACATAACAGGACGTAGAGATCACTCTTTTGATTGGCATGGCCCACATTTGTGTCCTCTTCACTATTTGAGCATACAAGTCGGAAATAGCACCAAATCCATGTGTGTCTAGGCTAGCCATGTCGGTTTATTGAAACTGGCTTGGCAAAACTGTTCCAAGTTTATATATAATTCATTTTGATTTCCCTACTAAAAAAAAGACAAAACTTGACACTAGTTTGAGAATCCATTAGGCTGCATTTTGGTCTTCTAGAGTCATGGTTTCTCAAGGTTTCTATAATTCGGCATATGTTTGATGATGTCCTTTTGTGCGGGAAGCAAATGATTTAGCGGACATTCTGGCTAAAAGGGGTGCGAGTAGTGGAGAGCCATATGTTTTGTCCTCTCTGCCTATGTATGTCGTTGCTTACAAGCAAAAATGTCGGTGGAACAACTGTAACTTCCACCTCATTTTCTAGCCTAAGAGTGAATGATAGAGACAGGACCCTGTCGAATTGCAATCCAGATGGAGGACTGGCCACAAGCTCGCCTCCGAATGGACCACTTGCAGCACCAGCTCTTGCAGTGACAAAACTGGAAACTCACCGGAAGATTTCGAAGAGGGGTGGTTTTCTGAAAGAAGAGGGGGAGATTGAGAAATCATTTTTATAAATAGACAAAAAGAGAAACATAAAAGAAAAAAAGAGGGGCGTACCCTGAAGCTCGTTCCCGTTCATAATCAGTATGGTTGTGCATAATCAACATGTGTGTGCCAACTTTCTCCGATTCTTGGAGAGTTCGTTGGGCGAGGAGATCGAAGCCAAATGTAGTTTTAGGGGCTAAAAATATCGGAATTTAGGTTTGGGTGCTTGAGGTCAGGGTTCGGGTCAGGGGGGTTCAGGGTCAGTATTGGGTCTGATGGGGCTGGCTCGAGTTCGGCATAGTCTGGCTAGAAATCAAATATTTGC